CAATAAACATTTATGAGCACCTAACATGTACTGGGCACTGCTGAAAGGGCTGGACACAGAGCAGTGAACTAAACACATTCCTGTTTCCCTGGGCTTGCCTCTTAATTGGTGAGGAGGCAACAAATATATATATAAATGTCAAGGCATGGCCCGTCCTATGAGAGAATAATAAAGCATGTTGGAGAAAGACAGTGATGAGGGAAGGGATGCGGAGGGGGTGAAGGGCAACCTCCCAGATGAGGTAACATTTAGCTCAGAGATGAGAGGCAAAGCTGTAACAATATCTGATGGAAAAGCAGCCCAGGCAGTAGAAATAACAAGTGCAAAGGCCCTGTGTGTTCTAAGAGCAACAGCACAGTACAGCAGAAAGTGTGGGGCCCTCACAGCCCATTTGGGTTCAAATCTCGGCTGTGCCTCTGCCAAGCAATGTAATTATAGGCAACTTACTTAAACTGCTGTGCCTGACCTATCTCCCTCACAGGGTTGCTAAGCAGATTAAGTAAACTAATATCATGAAGGCACTTAATACCTAAAATATTGTCAGGGTTTGGGAAATGATAGCTCTGATTATGTTAACTAGTCATTGATAACTCAGTTCCATTCAAGATCATTTATTTGTGACTTGACAGGTTTTAATTCCAGGGTTAAATCACACTCCTGGCTCTGTACTTAGCCAATAATTTCCTCCCAAACCTTAGACTTTCATAGCTGGGCTTCCCGACCTGATGAGAATCCATAGTGACGTCATCTCACTAAGGCCAGGAGGCACATTATCCCAGCTTTACTATTACACTAATAAAAATTATGCACTTCGTTCCACAGGGCCCTAACGCCAAGAGTCTGGCACTTCTTCAGAATGGAATTTCTTGCCTCTTGGATGCAAGTTATTTATTGCTTTATTGGCTTCCCAGGAGCGGGTCTCACCAGCCTCCACTGCTCACTGTCGTCACTGGCAGAGCAAGTGTGACTTTCAACCACAGTCCTCTATCACTGGAAGGATTAAAAAGTCACTACAAAATGAAGATAGTAGCTTAATATTCAAAAAAACCTTTTCTTCAATTTTTTATTCTAAAACAAACATTTCTCCAGGCATGGTGGCAGTGCACGCCTGTAATCCCGGTACTCTAGCTGCTGAGACAGGAGGATCGCCACGAGTTCAAGGTCAACCTGTGCTACATAGTGAATTCAAGGCCAGCCTGAACTGCATTGTGAGATCCTGTCCTTAAAAGCAAAACATTAGTTAATTAAAAATAAACAAATAAATATTTCAAAGAGAATAGGAAAAACACTCAAGTTCATCTGGCCCGGTAGTCTCAAAACCATTCCTTGGAATGCAGCCACCAAGCAGGGCAGCTCCAGAAGATACCATGAGCCACCAAGGGGGTGGGCTCAGAGCCAAGGGAAGCTGTCAGGGCCACAAGGAATTTTTGCCCCTTGCCCCTGTCCTCTCTCCCAGCTCTTTCCTTTACTATTATGTTTACCTTTCATCTTTGTAACCGGATGAGTTAAAGGGCAAACCACAGTCAGAGAGAAACCACAGCAAGTCCCTGCCTGTTAGAGGTAAAATGGAAATCTTCCCAAACCGCTTGTAAGGCTGGGGAGTGCACGTGGTTACTGCTTCCAGTCAGACAATTAAAAAGAGATCAGTGCTCTAGCCTGACAAGTCTTAAATGAGGCTTTAAAAATCAGATTCTCTTTCGAGGCTGACCTCATGGTTTTCCCTTTTGAATAACGGAGTATATGTTTACCTGGAGCTATAAGAACTCCATAAAATCTTGCTCCTTCTCATTCATTTATCATTCAACAAATATTTCTTGAGTACCTGGTTCATTCCAGCATGGATTGTACGAGATAACGGAACTCAATATGAATTTTACAAAAATTTCCTAAAAATTCCTGCCTTTGAGGAGTTTACACTCTAGTCCAAGAAGACCAATTATGAACAAGATATAGACAAGATTTTCCCCCTGTGTACTAGAGGGGAAAAGCAGATACAGGGACAGGAAATATGTATGTCTCTAAGTTTCTCTAAGTAAGGACCTTCAGGAAATGAACTCGCGTGAATGCTGTAGATATTCAGGAGAAAAACATTCCAAGCAAATGAAGCAATGCATGCAAAGGCCCTGAGACAGAGTGTGTCTTGGCATTTGCAGGGATGGCAAGCAGGCTAGGCAGCTGGACAAAGTGAGCCACCCAGAAAGCAGGAGTAACAGGCATGAGGGTGGTGGACCATTGTGGCTTTACAGATCACTGTAAGAATTTCGGTTTGGACTCTGGAAAAAGTAGGAACAGCAGAGAATTTTAAATAAATGGTGAGATCTGGCTTGCGCTTTATCAGAATCATTCTAGCTGCTGGGTGCAGACTAGATTGCAGAGAGTGAAGGAGGGAAGCACTCTCACCAGCTATGCGATCTTGGGCAAGCCACCTAACTCTGTCTTTCTAGTTGCTCTCAGCTTCAGAGGCCTTAAAGAAGGTTGTTCTACACCCCACTTTACTCCCAAACTCTATGATTCTAAGTTGATTTCCCTTGTGTTGTCTCTTGTTAAATTTATCTCAACTATTATAAGTCTGACCTTTCCCCAAAGCTTTACCTAAAGTAGAACCGAGTTGAAAAATTCAATTTGACAACACATTGTCAACACAAAAATTCAATTTGATACCACATACCAGGCCAATGCTACAGATCCAGAACACAAAGATGTTAAGATTCTAAAGTCTGAATCATAAATGTCTCCCACAGGAAGGCCTCAATGTAAAAACCCTGGTCCCCAGAGGACCAATATCAACACGGGTGGAAACTTTAGGAGGTGGGGTCTAACCAGGCATGGTGGTGAATGCCTGTAGTCCCAGCTATAAACCCAGCTACTCAGGAAAGTGGGGTAAGAGGACTGTGAGTTCAAAAGCCAGTCTGGGCAACAGAGCAAGACCCTATTGTTAAAATTTTTAAAAAGAAAAGAAATGTAAGGTCTAGTGGGAAGTCTTTAGATCATTTGAGGCATACCTTAGAAGGGGATTGTGAGACCCTAATCTATTCCCTTTTTTCACTTCTCAGCTATAAGGTAGGTGGTTTTTCTCTGGCCCATACTCCTACCATGATGTACTGCCTCACTAGAGGTCTGAAACAACAGGGCCAATCGATCGTGTACTAGAATCTCCAAAACTATCAACCAAAATAAATCTTCTTTATGATTTAATTATCTGGGGTATTTTGTTATAGTGATGGACTGGTGACTAATACAACTCAGTCCTGCTCTAGAAAAGTCCAAATCCACCAAGGCAAAATAAAAGAGGGTCTTCCATTAGCACAAATACCTCCCCAGATGCAGTCACCCAATCCTGAAATTCCCAGCCTTCAGAACCATGAGATAAATAAACCTTTATTCTGCATAAGTATCTGAGGCTGTGGTATTTTCTTATAGTAACAGAAAATGGCCTAATACAAAGGCTATTACATATGAATGAAGCATTGAAAACGAAGGCTGCAGAAAGATCAGAAACGTGAAGGGAATAAGGAGAACTACTTGCAGAGAAAGCAAGGGGTAGAAATGTAAGAAAATGAGGAGAGTAAAGCAGCAAATGAATCAGGAAGTGGACAGCTAAGATGCAGACAGAAAGCAGGCTCGGAATTTTGTGCTTTGCACCTTCTCTGGCTCAGTCAAGGTGCAGTGGGCGTGGGAGCCCCATCTGCAGCAGGTTGAGGAATAAATGTGAGGTGAGAAAAAAAGAACCAAGAGTTCAGACACGACCAGCCTTGACAACACTACTTGTTATCAAGGACTGCATCAGGAAAGTCTTATTCAACACTCTGGAGGTGTAAGGTGTGAGAAACAGGAACTAAGAGCTGCTGGGGGTGAACTTCTGGTGGTGGAAAGCGGTTTCTTAGTTATCACCGAGGTCTCATGGAACCACTAATCCTGAAACTAGCGGCAGACAGTTGGAAAGGCCAGTTGCTTCTAACAAATGCTGAGGACAATACATCCACCCCCACACTGTCCAACTATTTAGGCTTCTCTTCTCCTTCGTCCCAGCACCCCTAGTTTCTCCCCCATCAGAACACCACTGAGCAGCAGGAACTAAAGTTCTGTTGAAAGCGTGGCAAAAGTGCATCAGAAAACCTTACATTCAGCGCCAACCACCACGTGTGATACCGTGAGCCCATAACCTGGTACCACGTGGATGGGAAAAGGCTTTATGGAAAACACAAGCTGGGGCCCAGACCCCGTAACGTCAGCAGAAGCTGCCTAACTGCTCTTGGATGTGCTCTCTGAGGGACAAAAAGAAGCCCAAAGAGGAGTCTTTAATCCAAACATTATTCCTACTTTCCAATACACAGCACTGTAGAAAAATCAGAAAACCAAGCAAAAAAACCTAGCAGATTCTTTAAAATGTGCATCTACAGTCCCTTCTCCTTTAACCTCTGCAAAAAAGCAAACCAACTCCCAAATGATCATTTTTCTTGGCTTAATTTCACTATTTTTTGTGATACATAATTGGAAGCAGACTGCTTTTTCCTGGCTTTTAGAGAACAGGATCTTTGGGGTTACAAGAGTTGCCAACTACAGAACCTCAACTCCAGCAGAAAAAAAAAAGTTCTCGCAAAGCTCTTACCTAATACCTACATCAAATGTATATTAACTCCAAAAGAACATGTAAATCCCTTATTATGATGCAAAAGTAAACTTTCTCCTAATGAATTAGATACCTCTCTCCCATCCCTAGTCTCCTTACTCATTTACATGAAATGGAATCCTGCTTTGAGTTTAGTCACCTCCCATTCAAATATTACCAAAAAAAGCCCTACCTAGAGTGTGACCTACACGGGATACTTCGTGGAGGCAAATTCAAAAACTTCGTAGAACTCTTTCTAAAGGAAACCTCCTTAGACCACATACTGAGTAAAATGCGAACCTTGAACATCTTAGCAAGCAAACACTCTAATAACAAAATAAAGATGCCACAAACTGAAAAAGGCGTATCTACAGAAAAATGTGAAATGTACCAAGTGGGTCATCCTTCTCCTGGCTCCTGTCAGAATTGCGACACATCCAAAGGCTGTACAGCAACTGCAGTGAAGACAAATACAATGGATGAAAAACAAAGGTACAAGCGTGTCTTCACAAAATGGGTTGTTAGTCTGCTAATTTTTCCCAGTACGTATGGTATAATATGAATACACGACAAACAACAATCTCTCTAAAGAGTCAAGATTAAGCAAACTAATAGGAATGTCTACTCAGAAAGGTTTGGGCAGAAAAGAGATAGAACAGCAAAAGTAAATATGCCAATTTAGAAGATCAGAAACCTCTCCCACACACATAGGGAAGACCCTACACTGTGATGATGCAAAATGTACGTAATGACTCAGTGGTGCTTTCCCTCTGTGTTGAATCTAATGTGCCAGCAAACTACACAAAGTAGACATGTATTCTACTGTATTCTATATGTATTCTACACAAAGGAATCACTGGCACCAACACCATCATTAGCTTTTTCCCTCTTATCCAACCATTTATCATCAAGTTATATCAGGATGGCCTGAAGACATGTTATTTCTAACATAACAAAGTAGACATGTATTCTTTACACGTACTCAGAAGAGGTCTATGCTTGAAGAAGTTTTGTTTTAAAGAAAAAAAAACCATAAAAGAGATAACTCATAACAGTGAAGATCATACAACAATACTTAGGGTGCCACATGAATATGGGCTGTGTGATTAGAATCTAAGAATCTCACTTTACATAACCTTCCACATATGAAAAAAGCCACATTCTGCTCTAGTCATTATCATATATTTAATTTTGAAATGAAATTTGCAAATAGTTATCAGTACATTTTTGCATCCAAGAATCAAAATCAGATCGTCAAAACACATGAATCATTAAAAATGCTAACACAGTGATACTCCCCAAAGGGGACACTTTCATACACCAAATGGAATTAAGCATTCATCAACTTTCCATTAATTAAAGAGTCAAGTAAGAAATCCCAAGTTCTGCTAAACCCTCCACCTGGCCTGTTGGGTGTTCTCATCCGGCAGCAGCCTTAGCCCTCTTGCTTGTGAAACTACAAACCATTTCCCAAGGCAATCTGATAAACAGGAAAGCTCAAGGACTATGTCTGTAAGACTGTTTTCTAAAGATCTATTTTTTTTCAGGAACTAATCAACTGAAATGTGTTTTTACAAATGATCCATCTGTAACTTTATACAAAAACCTGACCTTCAGCATATACCAGAGAGAGGAACTATGTATTTAGAAGGACAGAAAAACAGGTGTTTCTTCCTACTGCAAACAACACCCAACTCAGAAGGCCCCTTTCACTCTGAGTCCAGTGCCCAGTGGGTTGGGAGAGTAGATGCTTCTCTACAATCCTTTTTCTTAAAGTGAAGACAGAGCTAATATTTCAAGGAATTCTAAATTATTATCCTGACAACAGTTTAACATTAAATTCTAAACATGAACTCTGCCAGGCTCTCCATATCACTCAGTCTCTTTCCAAGCTAGAAGCTTTCAACACAAAGGAATCACTGGCACCAACACCATCATTAGCTTTTTCCCTCTTATCCAACCATTTATCATCAAGTTATATCAGGATGCCCTGAAGACATGGTTCTGGGGCTCTTGTTTCACACCTTCCATTTCAAATATGGTCTCTAACTCTTATAAGTAGTTGTCAGCTTATTAAGTCTCCATCTTGGCCTGAAACACTTGCAAATAAAAAATGCAGAGTAAGGTCCAAATGAGCATGGCCTTAGACAGAATTTATATTAATGTTGCTCCAAACTTGAAGCATTGCACACATCTTGGTTGAGATAGCAAGGGATCAAAATCAGTAGTTTCTTGCATGGGAAGGGGGAATGGTTAGCAATCTGTGCTAAATCTTCAGGACTGCAAGCACAGAAAACAAAGCTCCATGTCAGTTAACAAGCAAATGTGCTATTTCAAAAAATATAAAACAAGAAATGTAGACATGGACAGAGCCCAGGAAATGAACCCAAATCTTTCTGTAAAACCCTTCCAACTAGTGTTGATTTATTTCAACTTCACTGGAAACTGAACAAATTAGCAACAGCTTGTGTTTTATGAAACGCTACAAAGAAGTAGTGCTATCATTCCAAGTGTTACTCTGAATATGTGGAACCAGAAAAATTACTGCCACGGATCTCAGTACACTTAATTTTCTCACAAGACACAAATGCTCTAGATGAATCTGTGAGGAGCAGCTTTTCATAGAGCCTGGATTCATTCTTACCCTCTTAGTTGTCCATATTCCCATGCAAGACTACTTTTAAGCTAAAGACCCTAACAATATTTACCCAGCTCAGGTCATACAAATTTCAAAAAGTAGTTAACATTTTTTAAATTTAAAGAAAACAATAAATTTGAAAAATCTTCCAGTGGACTGCTCAAAATGGCAATAAAATTCCTGTTTAAACTGTTAAGAGTAAAAGAGGAAGACTGTCCTCTATTAACTAATAAATCTGACAATTATAATTTTTGTGCAATAGCAATGAAAGGACAGAAAAAATACATTTCAAAATGAATTATGGAGAACAGGGATAATTCAAAATGACCACCCAGCAGAACCATCCAGGAAAAATATTACAGCAAGGTTACTATTTGCCCAGCCCTTTTCTAAGTTCTAACTGTTCTGTTAGGCTTAAGATGCAAAGTCAGAATCTTTCACATACTTATGATCCCAGGAAATTGGTCATCACTTAGTTACTAAAGAAATCAACAGTGATCATCTTAGAAGACAAAGGATATCTGAGTTCCCTGGTCTCTTAGGCCCAGACTCTACGCTCACTCATAATCACCTGACTTTTATAAGATATGATCAAGTTTGCACGCAAAGGGGAAAGATGAGTTCCCTCTTGACTCTTGGCTTTTTTGTTTTTTTCCAGTACTGGGAATCGAACTCACAACCTTGTGCTTGCCAGGCAGGCACTGTGCCGCTGAGCTAAATCCCCAGTCCCCCTCTTGAGTCTTAAAGAGAATGAGCCAATCATTTCCTTCTGGCAAACCATGCTTTCCGTGACTGCCAGCCATGGTGTAATCCCAACACTGAAGAGGCTGAGGCAGGAGGAGTGCAGTGAGTTTGAGGCCAGCCTGAGCTACACAGTGAGTTCATGAACTACACAGCAAGCCTGAACAATGGAGCAAGACTCTGTCTCAAAGTGGGGAATAAAAACCTTTCAGGGACAGATCCCTAGGCATTCCTCAGGCATCTTGGTCCCCTGCTATCACAGAACTGAATGTGGACATCTAATTTGCCAAGCTCCAAAACCAGGAACCACATGCCAATTAGGGGGCATAGGGTTGGTAAACATTTGTGAAATTAAGTAAACTAGATCAGAGTGCGGAAGACTAAATGAGATCTAAAATAAATACTATTCTGCAGTTTAAGGACAATGTTAGAATATAGAAATATAGAAAGAAGGGGCTAAATGTCAAAGTTATTTTAAAATAACTGACCCTAACTTGGTTAATGAAAGTAAATCAATATTACATGATATGAGAAACTGGCCTATAAAACTGCAAAGGTAGAAAACCTTTTTTAAAAGTTAGTCTGATTGACTAGCCAGGCAAGGTGGCACGTACCTGTAATCCCAGCACTCGGGAGGCTGCCAGTTCGAGACCAGCTTGGGCTACAAAGTGAGCTCAAAGCCAGCCTGAACTGCATAGCGAGACCCTGCCTCAAAAAGACAAAAAAAAAAAAAAAAAAAAAAAAAAAAAAGAAAAGGTAGTTTGACTGATTTTTTCAAGCATGTTAATTCTTAAATATTATTTATATATGTATTTACAGGCATGACTATCTATAGACAGACACATCATATATACCCAAAGTGGTGTGAAATATGATACTCTGAACTATCACTCCACATATTAAGCATCCCTAATCCAAAAATCCCAAATGCTCCAAGATACAAAACCTTTTCAGCACCCATATGACACAAGTAAACACTTCCACACCTGACCTCCTGTGCCAGATCAAAGTCAAAATGCAGATACTCTTAAAATACTGTATAAAATTACCTTTAGGCTACGAGCATATGGCATGTATGAAACATAAATTTCATATTTAGACTTAGGTCACCTTATTAAGAGAGCTTATAATGCATAAGCACATATTCTAAACTCTGAAGAAATCCACAATATTCTGGTCCCAAGCATTTCAGATAAGATATATTCATTCTGTACTAACAGGTATGTCTCTGAAGAATGCACAGAAATCAAGTTATTATAATTTAAGCCCGACGATACTTTATTATTTTACATTTGGAAGATGTTAATGAAAGATAATAATGACAGGACTATGAGCGAACCAACCTCCCTGAGAATTACTATAAACAGTTTCATGCAAAACATAAATGAGGATCATTATAAAAGGATTCACAATGGATTTCTCCAGATTGCCACCTCTCTTAAATAAAAAAAAAAACTGAAATACTATTCAAAGTACATGAAATTATTTTACATATACGCCTCTTAAGGAAAACAAGTTGAAAAATCCCTACATGTGTGTACTTAATATCCATCCAGCCACCACAGAGTTCCTGGCATGAAGCCAAAGTACAGGCACTATCCTCAAGGTCATTCTTATTTTCATCAGTTGAAATTAAATCCAGTTCTCCACTGTAAACTCACAAAGGGAGTTGGTTAATTTGCTAGATAAAGGCCCAACCTAGTGTATGTTTAATACCCAACAAACCAGTTTATGTGCCTTACAGACATTAACACAGTAGTATGTTGTGCTCCCCCTATTGGTTAATATTAATAATAACAACGAATTCCCCAGGGATTGCTTTATAAGTTCTGGGGTTCAAAAGTAAGTTCATGGTTTTTATACTTTAAAACATGAGCAGAATCAACAGTTGTTAAGCAAAGCTGCCATGTAATGGTCAGATTCCATCACAACAGGAAAAATAAAGGTTGACAAATGAGAAAGATAAACTGAAGGGCAAAAAATATGCTGAAGCCTTGAAACACTGAACAATGAATAATTAAAGCCAAAAGCAAAGAACACCAAGAAACAGAGCAACATCCTTTAACTGACACAATGGCATGAAATCAATTCCATTTTAATAGCCCTTAAGGGGGTAAGAATTATTTCCCTGCCTCCAGTGCCAACCTCAAGCTGTTTCCTAAGGAAGCCAAGTAATGGCGATCAACAATGTCTGGAGAATTAATAAAAGAAATTAACACTAAAGAACTATATTAATTCAAGTCAGAGAGCTATTTATAACACTTTGAAGCCAGTTTCAGAGGAGCTGCAATGTGGCACCCCTTAAGTATATATATATAAAGTATATATAAAATCATCTAAATGAATCACAGATATTTTATCTATTTCAAAAGATGTGTCCAACTCAGACAGGAAGCTGGGCAATGGGAGACCACGGATTCACTGCACACAAGTCGGACTGCACTTGCTGCTCCTGCCCATCTGAGCAAACCAGCTCGGAATTAGAACTCCACAGGTGTGAGAGGGCTTGGGCAAGAACCTTAACCTGTGCTGCCTTATCCGTAAAATGGGGCTGACGGGGGTTTTTACCATAGGTCTGATGTGATGCTTCAGTACAACTGCGCCAGTAAGGACAGCAATGTCTGCACCGAACATCAGTCATTCTTACCCAAAAGAAAGCCGAGTGCATGCACAATGAAGTAACCGCTTGCTGTCTGAAGTACCATTACAGGAAGATTAAAAGCCTTGCCCGAATTTTACTACTCGTGGAGACCTATCTCCTCCGGAACAGCTCACCTCTCCGAAGGGAGAAGAACTCAGCAAACACCAGATTCCCATCTCCGTGTGCCACTCCTACTCCCCTCCTTGTCGCTCTTCTCCTGTCTCCTCAGGGCTGGGACAAGGAGTGCCAGCACCTGGCCGCGCTTACCCGGCGCCAGGCACTGTTCTAGCACCTTACACATACAAGTCAGTCACCCTCACAGTAACTGCGTGGGCCGGTACAGCTAAGGAAACGGGGCGACTTCTCCCAGCTTTTTGTGCAGACAGAAAATCCATTAGATTCTAGTGGTCAAGGTAGCTCGTGCTTGACACGCCGGCTCCCTACACTACGTGATTCTAGAAAGTGGGGTAAATGCCCTGATGAGAAGAAGTCTGCAAGCAGATTCTTCTAGCGACTGTCAAGGACTTGCAAGAGTGTCCGGACCGAGGTAGCACTTGACGAGAGTCTTACACACACCGGGGGCGCGGCTCAGTCAGCCCGGGCGGCAGCACCCGAGGGCGCGCCCAGCGGGGAGCGCAGGTCGCGGCGGGGCGCAGGTCCCGGAGCCGCGGGCTCAGCCGCCGCAATTCCCTGCGAACCCACAGCAAACCTTTCCCGGACAGGCTGTCACGCGCCCGGAGGGAAGTGGTCAGCACGTCCCGCAAGGGTCAGAAGCAACCGCGGAGAGAAGAGTGAGGGCGGGCGAGCACGCCTCCTCCCCGGCCCTGCGCATCGCCGCGAGCGCTGCCCACCCGCGCGGCCGCTGCC